TAAAAGCAATCATAGTGCTACAAAGGTCTTTAGGCCAGACCAATTTTATTTCTTGTTTTACTGATCCGCCGGTCATATTTTTTCAAGAATAAGAAAAAAAAAGAAGATTTTTCTCCGCTCTAAAAATAAAATCCTTATGTTTTTGTTGGCAAAAATGTAAAATTACAACAAAATCTTTTTTTTGATTGTTTTTTTGCCCCATATACACTGCATAAATTGCCAATAGAAAAATACTTTTAATATTTAGAAGGAATATTACTTTGACTGGTGATTTTATTAAAAAAAAGTCCCTCCTGCCTTTAGGTTTTTTGAGGACAAAAATCTGTAAAAAGGGTCTGGCCTTATAAAAGTATTGAAGTTTGGATCATGATAGACCTATGATCACTTTGTAGAACAGGGGTCATGGTAGTAGACTTAATCCCTAGCACCTCAGGCTTGTCTTAAGGGACCACCATGCTTTCTTAAGGGATACTGGGCTGCCTTGATTGGCTCCATACCCCTTTGACTTGACTAATTATTTTAGCATTTACCATTGCAGAATGATGTTCAGCTAATTATAATTATTATAATTTTCCCCTCAGAGAATACTTTGAAATATATGGTAGAAATAATATTATAAATATTGTCAAATCTTGAAATTTAAATTTGAATGAATTACTACACATACTGACCATGAAGTTAGTTATAATTGTCATGGTTCAATATTTTAGTAATTCTTCTGAATTTTTATTTCAAGGTTTCATTATATTTTTATTAAGGTTTGAACATTGTTTGATATGAGAAAAAACGCATCCATTGCAGTGGTTTAAATTGATGGTTTAAATACAAATTTTAAACATATCAGTAATGAATATTATCTGTATAACATACACCCACTGTGATTCAGCTGGAACTAGCTGTATGATGGAGGATGCTGTGTTTGGCAGTTATCACTCACTCCTGTCATTTCTTGTATCCTATCTGCATTATTTCTATATACTGTATCGCCTTGTTGTTGACTGTGATTACGGTAAGCAGCAGATATTGTTACAACAGAGAGACTTCATGAGAAAGTAACCATTAATGGAATAATGAGATCACGTCAAAAGTCATGACAGATCAGAGAAGTGAGCAATTTGTTGATGACCCAAGATACTAAAGGCCAATGGGAAATTACGATTGTAATATGTTGTGAGGGATACACTACATGGGGACCCTCTCACTCGTGCTAACAAGCAGCAAGCAAATGTCACGTCAGGGGTCTGGTACATGACCTCCTGATAAGCCCAAACAGACATTTCAGACAAATTAATGCAAATTAAACGAGGAAATATGACTTTAGTCGGTAGTGAAATTATGAACGAATGAGTTGATACTTATCGGATTAAGTATAAATTGGCGATAATTCTGAGGTCGTCAACTCTTGCGCTTACACGTGGTAATGAATTTTGTTCCATGTTGGTTGTGAAATATTTGTAATTGAATAAGTATTGGTTTTGTCGATGTTTCCACCAAGGGAAAATGAGGGTAATTACTGATAGCGGCTTGTAACGTGTTTATCGGACTGGTCATGAGTGACATTTGCTGGTTGCTGTCGATCAACATGGTTTTATCGGACTTACTGCCTGTCAAAATATTTGTCTGTTGTACAGGCTTTGAGAAGCGGACACCTGTCACAGATTATGAAGATACATGTACTTATATACTGATAGCCCACATGTCATGATTGTGGAATCTGGTGGCGTGTCATCACTGGTATCATGTCTCGCCGTGGTCAAGTATGCGCTTCATGGCGGAGATTTGTAGCAACTGTTTATTATATGATGGTTATGATGATTGTGATATGTGACACAGTTTAGAGATTGGAATCCATTGTCCTATATGTAACAAACTAGTAGACTCATCTATCTAAGGGGCGGCAGGGTAGTCTAGTGGTTAAAGCGTTGGCTCGTCACGCTGAAGACCCGGGTTCAAATCCCCACATGGGTACAATGTGTGAAGCCCATTTCTGGTGTCCCCCACCGTGATGTTGCTGGAATATTGCTAAAAGCGTAAAAGCCAAACTCAGTCAGTCAGTCAGTCAGTCAGTCAGTCAGTCAGTCAGTCATCTATCTAAAACTTGTGAAAGCGCTGATATCCAGGAAAATGCTGCTCAAAAGCGCTGTTGTGTCTGAAAAAAAAATTTCATTGATCAAGATTTAAGTTGAAACAAGTGTGTCTTGAGTTTGGTTTGAATCCAGTGAGAGTGGTCTGGGATTTGATATGGATTGGCAGTTCATTCCACAAGCATGGTCCGGCATATTCAAAGGCTCTTTCACCACATGTCTTTGTGCGTGATGTTGGTACTTGTAGTTGAAGTCCCTGTTTGGATCTGAGTGAGCGACATTGCTGGTCTCACAAACCTATGTTCAGGAATAGAATGTATGGATGCCACGTTCTTTATTATGAAGACAATCATGTTTCAGACTATATGCTTACTCCTTCCTAGGATGCAGAGAGCATAGATATATGTATATGTAAGATTGACAAAAATAATAAAATAGGTAGAAACTGAACTAGGGAAACAAACAAATAACTAACACTGATTGGTGACTAGCAATGAAAAATGGAAAATTAGGGTTGTAAAAAATGTGGAATGAGATCAGATGTTAAATCACTGAATATTAAAATGAAAATAATATCAATAATAAGTATAAATAACTTTGACATTTTGACATTCTTCTGAGGGAAATGAGTGAGTGAGTATGGTTTTACGCCGCTTTTAGCAATATTTCAGCAACATCACAGCAGGGGACACCATAAAAAATGAATATGCATATAGATGGAAATCGTCTAAAGTTATGTAAATTGTTTTAGAGACATCTTGCTTAATACTTTTTTATCATATCTCTTCTTCCTTATAAGGAATGTTTGGGAAGTTTCAGGTTTGTCATACTTTTTTATCATATCTCTTCTTCCTTATAAGGAATGTTTGGGAAGTTTCAGGTTTGTCATACTTGTAAGGAGAGGATTGGGTGGCATCAATTCCCCACTGTCTCTAATAAATTACCTGTTTCAGCAGGCAGGTACAGATTGTTCATGTGTATACCATGTCTTGAACAAATCATGTTTTGAAAAAAGGGTTTTCTATAGTGAATTAATTGTCATGCTCACTGTAGACATCTTAAGTCTCCAACTTGCAGTACCGCCAACATTCTGGCGCCAAAGTTTGCCATGAGGCAGCAGGAAGGAAGCACATTCCAGAATGACCTTTGATGACCTAAAATATTTGTGTGAAATTCCGAGTGATTTTCTTTTGTTTTGTGATGTTGGCTACACAGTCTGTGTGCACATTTCTCAGCCATGTTGCAGCCATGTGTCGGTAGAGGTAGGTGGTTTGTGTTGCGGGACTGAGGCCGGGACAGGAAGTAGGCGAACTCTCCAGATGGAGACAACAAAAGAGCGCCTCGCGTAGCAGTTGGCGCACATTGTTTCTAGGGTCTGTCATTCCAGAAGGAAATGCATCAATAAGTTGCCTAGCAATGAATTATCTAAATAGAATAGCCAGAATTGTGTATGTTTTACTGACTTCAGCATCTGCAAAGGCATCCTTGGTATTGTGCGAGATCATTCCAAGTCCAGAGTCATTCTTTTATAATCTGGGTATATGTGTGATATTTAGAAAGCAGAATTTGAAAAAAAGGTCGAGAATGCATCGTTCTGAAATAACAAACACAATGGAATGGTAAAACTCCTATTATAATCCTTGCAACATTCATGGGACTTCACAATGGTGTATGAAGTTTGCTTTATTCTTTTATGACTTGTTTTTCTTATAGATATCACATAACAATACAGAAATACGCCCCTCTTGTTATGTATACACCAGGCACCAAAACAATTCTATGAAAATTTTGAAATAATATCGAATGAGGATAATAATTTCCAAAGTTAGTGTTTTTAAATTTTGAAAACATTTGTTCTTGAAAAGGAGGAGACAAACAATTATATTTTTTCAAATTGATTTTCAGGATATTCGGAACTCGAATTTATCCAGGATTCCAAACTAAGTGCCTTTTACAGGGAAACTGTAAACAAATTGTTATTTTTTTCCATATTGGAATTTTCCTATTTGACTAAATTTAGAGGTATCACAATATTAAATTTCAACAATGCATTCAATGAAATATTTTCAAACTATGAAATAAAGGAAATGTTTGTTGATTTAACTGATGACCCTAATCAAGTCAAAACACAATCCTGCAAAATCATTTTTTTGAGAAGCAAATTTTTATGGTAAAACATCAACGGTCAGTCCATTATGTGAACTTAAATACTTAAAATGATCTCTCTCATGGTTCAGTTGTTAATGGTGTCTCCCATAATATGTAGGACCTGGTTTTATTCCCATATGGGTACAGAAACACCACCTTCCTATGTCGCCTTGCTTCCATATTGCACCATTGAACTCTATCCAACTCTACTCTTCAGCCATGGAGATCCTGGTTAGAATTGGTCTTCAGCAACCCTTGCTTGCCGTAAGAGGCAACTAACGGGATTGGGTGGTCAGGGTCGATAACTTGGTTGACACATGTCATCGTTACAATCCCAATTGCGTAGATCGATGCTCATGTTGTTGATCACTGGATTGTCTGGTCCAGACTCGATTATTTACAGACCACAGCCATATAGCAGGAATATTGCTGAGTGCGGAGTAAAACTAAACTCACTCACTCACTATTCCCATATGGGTACAGAAACACCACCTTTCTTTGTCACCTTGCTACAATATTGCACCATTGAACTCTACCCAGAAAACTCTGAACTTTGTGTGGGGCGGTGGGGTAGCCTAATGGTTAAAGCGTTTGCTCGTCACGCTGAAGACCCGGGTTCGATTCACCTACATTGTGTGAAGCCCATTTCTGGTGTCCCCCGCCGTGATATTACTGAAATATTGCTAAAAGTGGCGTAAAACTAAACTCATTCACTCACTGAACTTTGTGATCATTAAAGCAATCTAATGAGGTGTTTTTCTGTTTCAGCTTTTGGCCCCGACAACTGCACCAGCAAAGACTGTGAGGCCATTGGGGATGTAACTCTGCAGTGCCCATTTGATTCGGATCTTATTGTCAACACCACCGGTGCCACGGCACGTTCATTGTGTGTGTGTAATCATTCTTATTGTACAGTGCCAGTATGTGCAGCTGGATTTGAAAGTGTGCTTCTCAATCCTGCGGATTTACGGCCCGGATCGTGTTGTGATGAATTTGTGTGTAAGAGAACAGGTAAGACCGAAAAATATTTTTAATTTGTCGACAGATACAGTAGGTATTGGTGATCTTCTATCTGTAGGTGTGTAGTACAGCTCTGGAAATAACCATATATTTTCTGTTGTCAGTCTTCATCTTTGTGACCCGTGAAGGTCCGGGTTAGAATATTGATCTTCAGTAACCCATGCTTATCGTAAGAAGCGACTATCGGGATCAGGTGGTCAGGCTCGCTGACTTGGTTGACACATATCATCGTATCCCTATTGAGTAGATCGATGCTCATGCTGTTGATCACTGGATTGTCTGGTCCAGACTCGATTATTTACAGACCGGCGCCATATAGCTGGAATATTGCTGAGTGTGGCGTAAAACTAACCTCACTCACTCACTCACTCACTCTTCATCTTTGTCCATTTTCTAACTGCCATCTCTAGCAACATTTCTGGCAAGGGCAGGTAACTCTATACCTGCAATTCGTGGATATGTCAAATTTTGTGTTCCGTCTACCTTTGCTTGTGTGCCAAAGGGGAATCTGAGAACATGGGTCCTCAGCAATCTTTCCTTGTCAAAAGAGTCCACAAAGTGGATCGGGTGGTCTGTTTTTTATTTGATTGATTACCGGTACATGAAATCATAATCCTATTGTACGGATACATGCTCAGAATGTCAATCAATGGATTGTGTGATTATTTACACACCAGTGTCAAATGGCAGGACTTTTCTGAGTGAAGCATTTAGCAACAAACAAACAAACACTGCAGATGACCGACACACACTCCTGACACACACTCCTGACACACACTCCTCGCATATAAAGTATGGAATGCTAAACATACATTGTCAGTGTAGGTCCATGGATGCAGACACCACTGTCACTGGTAGGTCAATCCTAGATAAATTGGCAAAGGTGCACACGCTACTGCTTAAACTTTACGATTTATGAAATAAGATTGTACAAAATCTCATGATTACCTGCACATTAACTGAAAACCTCTGACACAGATTTGGTGACTGTTTGGCATAATTGTGTCAACCTTGTTACTCATTAACTCCTAAGAAAAGCCCATTAAACAATTCATGATCAGAGTAGTTCTTGCTGTTGACAAGGAACTATGATGATAGGGTGTGGTGGGGTAGCTCAGTGGTTAAAGCGTCCACTCGTCACACCCGAAAACATGGGTTGATTCCCCACATGGGCACAATGTGTGAAGCCCATTTCTGGTGTCCTTGCCGTGATATTGCAGGAATAAGCGGTATAAAACTAAACTCACTCACTGAGTCACAGTGCCACTTAAAGAAGCTATGATGGAATGAGACATATATGGATAAGACCTTCCTTATGTTGCTGTCATAGCAATGTTTTCATCATTTATCTTTAGCAACATTCTAGTAGATATGCTTATACTGTGATCAAACAAAGACATCCATTGCTAGACCACTGTACCAGTATAGAGATTGATACCGAAACACGCTATTTAACAGCAAAATGATAAAAATTGTTTTCCACAATTTGTGTCAACGTTCTATTTTCAACATCGACATTTGACGGCAACGGTTCTTGGGTGTTTAGGTCAATAGAAATGTTTCCAATTATCCACTGTCCGATCTAGTGTGAAAATATACCTTGATATTCTTTTCATCTTAGGAGTACTGTTGCCTTCACCGAGAAGCATTGAACCTGAGTTCTTGTTCAAAGATATTATAGTACCAGTAATACTTGTTGACCATAGTTGTTTAGACATCACACTGAACAGATAAGTGGTCCAGTTGTTATTGATATGTATAGAGCCTGATTGCTGTAGAGATCCTTTTCCATGTCATTAGAGTCTACATGCCAACAGTTATTACTGATAATTGCATGGTTAGATCTGTGTGTTTGATACATATAAGTATTCCATAGCCTTCTTCCATGTGTACCATGCTGTAATGTCCATACTGTTGTCATTCACCTTCCTCAGAATAGACTTGTGAGTTGTAGTGCTTTGATTATCATGAGAACTGTTGTGTGGTTCACTCACATCTTAGAATGGACTTACTGATATTACTTTGACTGTTTGTTTGTTGTTTGGTTGGTTCTTAGCGTGGCACTCAGAAATATTCCAGCTATATGGTGGTGGTAAATAATCAAGTCTTGTCCTGACAATCCTGTGATCAGCAACATGTGCATCGATCTATGCAATTGGGATGTGATGACCACGTCTGTGAGCCTGACCACCTGACCTTGTGAGTCGCCTCTTACGACAAGCATGGGTTACTGAAGATCAATTCTTACCTGGTTACTTTGACTGTCATGAGAACTTACGACCATCGTGTTGATGTAATTGCCTGACTCCTGTACCTAAGTATAATGAGTATGAACTTACAACTTGTTTGGATATTGACTTCAGGCAATATGTGAGTCAGTCAGTAAGTGAGTGAGTATGCTTTTACTCCGCTTTTAGCAATATTCCAGCAAGATCATGGCAGGGGACACCAGAAATGGGCTTCACACATGGTACCCATGAGGGGAATCGAACCCAGGTCTTCAGCATTATGAGTGGCGAAGCTTTAACCTCTCGCCTACCCCACCTCCCCCTAAGGCAATATGCATAACTTATTATGGCTATCATGACACATAGACCTCGGCACTGACCTACACAATATAAGTGCTATGACACCACACCTAAATTTGACCCTCATTGACGGGTTGCGAAAGACGTGGGGTTTATGAAGGAATGTCACAAGGAAGCAATTACTTAGCTGTCTGTGGCCTGGGATACAGAGCTTGGTTTATGGAGATGCACTGTGGTTGATGAGGTTGCTGGTGGATATATGATGAAATGTGGCCATTCACCAGTTAATATCGCACCCACTGTATCAACCTGCCAGAAAAGATTAATGGAAATTGATGGCACCAAGTTGTTAAACAGTACTGAGGTGGGATGTCGAAAGGGATGAGTTATTAGTTTAAGAAGGATGGGGATATTGGTTGGCACTGACTATGTGGACAGTTAGTACTAGACTTTATTGAGTTGTGTGGTTGTTACTCCCAATGGTCAGGCTAATTAATATGTCAAGGGTGATTTACCATCAATGGAATATGGTTCAAGTTGTTTGTCAGTAAGAATCATCTCTTTAAATAATAATATGTGTATGTTCTTCTGTAATTGTGGGGCGGTGGGGTAGCCTAATGGTTAAAGCGTTGGCTCGTCACACCGAAGACCCGGGTTCGAATCCCCACATGGGCACAATGTGTGAAGCCCATTTCTGGTGTCCCCCGCTGTGATGTTGCTGGAATATTGCTAAAAGCGGCGTAAAACTAAACTCAGTCAGTCAGTCTTCTGTAATTGTAATGATATTTACAAAATATTTTTGCATTTGACATGATTCAGACAGTTGGTTATTGTAACCTATTGTTTAGATTGATGCTCATAATATCAGTCACTGAATTGTGTGGTCCAGACTTGAGTATTGACAGACCCTTGTCATAGACTTGCTTATTGCTCAGCGTGGCATTCAACAACAAACAAACAAACATACAAACCAGTTGTTTCTTGTTTGTTCAGTAACTAATGACTTTTTCATGAGACACATTTGGGCAGTTTATGATATGATGGAATATCAACTGGATCCCTACTTAGCAAAGTACTTTGAAGTTTTAAGATTTAGCTGTTTTGTATTAAATGTAAACTCTTCAAAAACATAAGTTGTTTTTTTGTTCACATTTTTCTATTCGCTTAAAAACATAAGTTTATCAGTTCCCAACAACGGTGATCTGTTGGTGGAGTGTTTTCTGGTTCAGTGTGTGCAGGTATTTTGAAGATTGTGAACTAAGGCTGTGGTCATTTCCAGAGTTCACTTTAGTAAACTGTCTGCACATCTTTTGGGTGACTTCATGCAGTAAAATGTCCATGATCATAAAATGACAATAAGGGCACTGAAGTAGACATGCTTTGAAGGTCAGTCTCGTCTTACTCAGACTGTCCATACTGAGGGCATGGACCTGGAACAAATTGAGAGGTAAATGGACCCCATTTTGCGGTGGTAATAATTTCTGGTCATATCCCTGAAATGGCCACACGTGAATAGAGGGATCTACACACATTACTGAATAGACTCATACTTCTTGTGGAATTGTCACCTGGAAATAGTGTCCGGTTGTTGATATGTTTCTCATCTGTCAGTATTGTTATTTTAGGCTTCCGTCCACCAAGCCACGACATTGTACACCATGCCGGGAAAAGCTGGCTGGATTTCGGGACAATGGTCTCGGTCATTGGTTGCTTTCATCAATCAAACTTATTGGATGTTGATAATAAGCTACCCCAATGAAAGGATTTTGTAAAGAGCCTTTATGGGATCACATCAATTTATCAAGAATACGATGCTTCATCAGCGTGTGTGCCTTACATGCTGATAATGTTTCACATATACAACACTGGATACTTGTCTTCGGGATATTTATGGGCCGTTGCTACACTTTGCTCACTCAGCATATCTCGGCGGAATGCTGACTTGATACTGAACATTTTTCGTGAACATTTTTTGGAAAATTGAGATATTTGCTCTTTATTAATGCATTTTTTGGAAAGATTATTTTCATATGGGCAGATAAAGGTGGTTTTTTTATAAATCCCCATTGAATGTTTTAGAAGATTATACCAGGTGTTTTATGTTAAAGATGCAGTACACATTATTGCTAAAAATACAGGAAATTACCATTTTGTATAATTTAACTAAAGAATATTCATTTAGAGTATGTACCTTTGAATGGCTAACATTTTTGGTGTAAAAATTAACATTGATATATGCTACTGAAACTAGACAAACTATGTAAGTTATTCCAGGCAATCAGGAAGCTGACTTAAAATGAATGCCAGTTTAAACACCATTGCAGTGCCAGTATGGACAGGGATTCATAGAATGATGTTAATAAATCAGGAACATATAAGGAATAAAACCCAGAGTCTTTAGGCCGATGAACAAACACATGTCCTACTAAGCGTCTGTTACCCTTGTCACTTGTACTTGTAGCA